GCTCGCTTTGCGCACATAAAGCGATAAGCAGCACTTACGTGCATATATATGCGCGGTGTGTGAGTGATGGAAAGAGAGCAGCAGCAGCAGTAGCAGACAGACCGATCCCTGGGAAGCCTAGTTAACGACGCTTTTAGGCGGAGGGTATCAGTGCTGCTGCAGCTGCTATTTTCGGATGGCCCCCGTTACCGCAGTGCATGGGAGACTGTACGCCCGCCCTCGCTCCCGTGCACGCGTGTGTGCGTGCATTGTGCTGCATCCATGCATCCATGCTACCGGCGCGAGTGCTTCCTCGCACGTACTACGGCAGCAGCAGCGGCGATGGCGGAGGCGTGCGCCCTCTCCGCACGCTCCGCCGCAAAAAAAGCGTTTCGTTGTTCGCTCGCGCGCGCAAGAGAGAGGTGGGTGGATTCACAGTGGCTTCAGTTTCATCAGCAAGCATCCGGATCCAACGAGGGGGGGGGGGCGGCAGTAACGCGCGGCCGCGGCGGCGGCAAGCGATGGTGGTGTTTGTGGCGCCCCCTCCCTCCCCATAACTGCATACTGCGCTATACTACGTGTGCGCTACGTGTACGCGTGTACGCTATACTATGTGTACGTGTACTACGTGTACGTGTGTACACATGTACATGTACTATGTGTACGAACGTGTACGCTACACTATACTACGTGTACGCTATACTATGTGTGCGCTGTGTAGCGTAGTGTAAATGTGTTATTTTCAACTTTTAATATTAAAGTTACGAGAGCGTCTGGGCTCTCGTAATGTTACGAGGAAATTTCCGAGGATTTTTCGTTCTCGTAACCTTACTCGACTCGTAATGTCGTTCGATTCACCCGTCATCTGCCTGTAATGAATGACGGCCATCTCTTGCCAATCAGCGTTGCAATGGAAGCATTCTAAAAACACTGCTTAGTAACGAAGAACCGTACAGTCGACGTGTTGGCGTGCGCGCGCGTGAAGAGCACCTATACAAAGTAGTCTAGGTTGAGCGATCTAGCAACAATATCCGAGGCGGACAGTGGATTGGTCCCTGCCTAATTTGGCACCCCTGATTAGCTTCGCACATATATGCGACAACATATTTTTGGGGGCGCAAAACTATCATTGATCCGTAGATTGTGATATATATACATCACTCACTGGCTTGTCGCCGCGTGAGCACGTGTCTACAGACGCTTTTACGCATTTTTTGGCATTTTTCTCTGCGCTAATACTGGACTCAAAAATGCCGAAATCCGCGTTACGAGCACGTGGCTACGTCGTGGCCGACACTGTAAGGCGATGAGCACGTGTTGTCGTCCGCGACAACTAGAGACGTTCCGTTGTCCACGCTTGCGCAACGCGGCGTTGACGACGGTCGTACGCGGAGGTGGCGAGACAAAAGTCTGTCCTTGAGGGAATTTGTCGGCGAGGTAATAGTCTGGTGATTAACGCGACTCGGGGAAGCAGGTCGCGCGCGGACGGTCCGTCGCACAGGAGACCACGCGGGAATACACACTCCGCACAATGGAGACTCGACGACAGCGGGAAATACGACCACTGCGTTAGTCATTGTCGCTGAAGATGACCCCGGGGGCGAAATCTCGACACCCTGTGACCCGAACCCTGAGCTAGGTGGGCCGGGGGGGGGGGCGGTTGCCCCCCGGGCCGTCCTGTCTCCCCATAGCACACCAA